GCTAATCAGTTGATGACATTTTCGTCAATCTTTAAAATGGACTATATGATTAGTTTGAGTAATTTTGGAACACTGATATTGTTATGAATATATTGTACTTTTTGTTTTACTAACAACTTTGTTTATAAGTTACTCTCTTTCTTAAAACTAAAGCATCACAGTTTTGTGAGGTGAACAATTTCTTCTCATATAATATATATGAATTTTCCTATTTGTTCACGTACTTAAGGGTGGGGCCAGAAATTATAACTTAGGCAGGCTAAAATTATAGCAAATTTTAAACAAAACATTTTTTATTAAAATATTATTTTTTAAGTGCTTTTGAAACAATTCTGTTTTGAAATATATTCTTTTAACAAAAATATTTTTTTAATTTAAATTTAGAATTGGACTTAAAAAACTCAATGACTACACTTCCTTATTACAACATGAAAACAAAAATTAAAAAGCGAGAAAAAACACTTATTAAGAATAATTTATCTTGATGAACAAATATTTCTCAAATTTCAAAGAACTATTTAGTTTTGTCATATAATTCATCGAAATTGATATCTAAGAGATGGTTATTTACATTTAAAATTATTCAAAAATTTTATTTGATGTGATTATGCTATATATTTTAATTAGTTAGATTAAAATTATAAAGAGTCGTTAAATTTCAATTTTTATTATATATATAAAATTAAGATTATGTTTATGAAGTATATATACATACAATATTTTCCCAAAAAGTTATACACGGGCTAATGCCTTGAAAGAGTTAGAACGTGACTCCGCCTCTTACATATCAACTTTTCTATTTAAAGAATTAATTACTTTTACCTCCATACTATTTTTTTTTTATTTTATTGTATCTCAATTTTAGGTTTAGGTCTCCATGATATTCATTTCGTATTTAGATACATTAATGAAAAAATATTTTTTATTTTTATCGTATGACAAATTGTAGTATGTCATGCTATCGGTATGTTGACGTGACATTTTTTATCAGAAGTTATATGGTACTCATTCTTTCTTTAGTACATAATTTTGTTATATAGAACTTTTTTGAATTAGCGTTTTAACGGATCAAACATATAAATGATATTCAATACGTGCTAATGTTACACCAATTCACTAATATCCTAACACGGCATTAGGGCACCCGCAACGCCCTGTTGAAACGCCCCGTTTAAACGCTCAATTAGCGTTCACTAGAATGTGGGCGTTCATTATTTGAGTGGGGCCCATATACTGTTCAAAGGGCTGAACGCTTGAACCCTTTATTTTGTTTTTTATTTTTTTATTTTTTGTGTTTTAAATGAAATTGTTTAAGTATTTTATTATTCTTTTATATATTTAACTTATTTTTTTATCTATATCACACTTTCCAATATTTATAAATTCAGATTTTATCTATATCACAGTTGCCAATATGTATCAATAATTTATATTTTCTATCCCCATTCTTTGTCTATAAATACACCTCATTTTTAAGTTATTTTTGTCTTATAGTGTTCTTTATTATAATTTAAAAATATTAAAATTTTATTTTTATTGAGAATAGAATATTAAAATTTATATTGAATGAGTGGATAATCGGTCTCATGTATATATGTATTTAAATGAATGTGTAGGAATGTGGGTGTGTGTTTAAATTGAGAGAGATTTAGTAGAAAAATAATGTGGAGATGAGAGAATGTTACTTTTTTTATTGAATGAATGAGATGTGTGTTAAAGGGTTGTGGATGCCATGTATAAACGTGTACAATTTACATTTAGTCCCTTTTGAGGAAAAATAAACAAATTTTCAGGTATGCAACTAGCTATCATCAATAATACATGTGAAATTGTGTCCCAGGTATGACAAATTCATTCACTAAAAAGAAAACAACAAATTTGTGTAAATAATAGAATGCATAAATAGATAAAAATTAAAGCTCTTGGTGTTTACAGATTTGACTGTTGGACGAACATTCCTAGTCGACGCCAGGATATTAAAAAATGTAATCTGCTTTAAAGTACATTATGATGAAATCAACCACGCCATTCTTAAGGTCATCAAGTCAACGTTGTTGGTGTGTAAAGAATAA